GTGTGTGTGTGTGTGTGTGTGTGTGTGTATCAAAGATTTATTTCAAATTTATTGTTGCATATTAGCATTTCAGCTAGCTTTACTGCTGTTTGCTTTAAAACAAATAGTTTCTTTTTCCTATAATAACTGTGCCTATTTATATTTCAATCATTTAGTAGTGGATTAAATTTTAAACTAAAACAGGTACAAAATTCCGGCTGTTATGTGCCATTGAGTCTCCAGCAATCCATAACAAGCCTGTGTACGATAGCTCTGAATCCTGCCCTCTCCTGAGTCTCACTGACTGTCACACCTACCCTCATTGCCCCAGTTACTATATCAATTAATCTCATCCTGGGTCTTCCTCTCCTGCACTGTCCCTCCACCCTTCCTAGCATAATGTCCTTGGTAACTCCTTGCCATGTTCCCAAAGTATGTGAGATGGAGCTTCAAAATCCTTGCCTCTAAGACAAGGATTTTCACCCTCTCCAAGACAGACGTCTTTATTCTTTTGGCAGTTTATGGTTTGTTTAATACTCTTCTCCAGCAACACAACTCAAAGGCATCAATTTTTCTTCTGTCATCTTTAGTTAATGTCCTGCTCTCTGCTGCATGGCAAGTAATTGTGAAGACCATGGCCTGGATCAGTAACACGCTAATCTCTAGACCGACATAGTTGCTTCTTAGTACTCTGGAAAGGTTTCTGACAGCAGACTTCCCATTACAATTTGTTTTTTGGTTTCCTGACTGCTGGTGCCAAGTGTTGATTGTGGAGCTGAGCAAGCTAAAATTGTGAACAATCTCAATCTCTTCTCCAACTTTCATGGTATTGACAATTGGTCCGGTGGTGAGAATCTTTGTTTTCTTGAGTTTGAGCTTCAGTCCATATTGAAGAGTATAGTCCTTCACTTGCTGCTGCAAACACTTGATGTCCTCAATTGTAAGGTCATATCAGCTGTTTAACTCAGCTTATTGATGACTCTTCCAGTCCTGATGCCACTTGATGCATGAAGTCCAGCCTCCTGAGAGATCTGTTTCGCATAGAGATTGGTAACAGGGCTGCATCTCTCCTGATACCTCCTTTCCTGATTTTGAACCATGCAGTTTACTTGGTCTGTTCTTAGGACTGCTTCCTGGTCCACGTGAACCTTTCACCTGAACACAATCAAGTGTTCTGGGATTTCCTTCTTCTCAAGGTTACCCACAATTTGTTGTGATCCCAGAGCCAGATGCCATTTTATAGTCAGTGAAACAGATAATACTATCTTCTGGTACTCTTTGCTTTCATTTAGCCAAGATGCATTGGACACAAGCAGCCTCTTTTAGAAGAGGTTGTATTTCTTTTAGAAATACACCCAGTGTGTATTTCTGGTCATTTTCTGTTGATAGGGAAGAGTTCCAATAGAACCTTGCTATTTTATATTCCATATAGAAATAGTTTACTTTGAAATTGATCTCTTGGGGATTATCCAGTTTAAGTATTTGTTTTTAAAAAAAAAAAAAAAGACAAAAACATGCACACAATAAAACTTAATACCGTCAAGTGCATTCTAACTCCTAGTGACCCTCCAGAATAAGGTTTCCAAGACTGTAAATTCTAATGGGAGGAAGCTATCCACGTCTGATAGATTTGAACCTTCAGAGATGTGAAGTCTTTGGACAGACTTGTTTCACAATTAGTGATGGACCAGGCCAGCAGAATTGTTTTATAAATACCTAATCTTAAAGAAATTACTTTTCTCCATATAATTTTATTGATTTCCGTTAAGGTTTGCAGCAATAACATTTACCTATGTATTTTTTGTTATTTTATCTTTTTAACCTGTTCTTCAGTAAAATATAATTTTTTAAAATTTTATTTTAATAATCTTAATGAACATTTACAGAAATTTTGGATTTCCATTCATTCATTGTTACAAAAGTATAAATTTTTGAAATACTTGTTTGATTGTCCTTTTTTGGTCTCTTCATAGATGTGTTTAAGCAGAGGAAAATTATTAGCTGAAAAAGCTATCAAGGACCATGTAAGTTGATCTTCAAAAGTCCATATTATTTACTCTATTAAAAAATTCAAGTGAGTGTTTAAAGATTTTCTTAAACTTCATCCTTCATTTTTGTAGGTAAAACCTGCATTTTCATGGAGAAACATCTCCACCTTGTGGTCTTTAAGAATATTACCTTCTGAAAAGTTGGTTTTGTTTTGAAGGTTAAAAAGTTAAGCCAGAGTTACTAGAAAGTTACATCCCAAAGGGATGGACCATCCTCCTATAAATACAGAGGAGAGGCCTGTTTCTGTATTTTTTAATGAAATAATTTCTTAATATTGTTCTGTGATGTATATTGTCAAGGATTTGAGAGTATATTAAGCAGAACTAATTTTAGAAATTCTGAAAGAAAACATGTAATACCTTACTGTTGTAACTGTAGAACCTTTTTAAAGTTACCTCATTTGTGATATTAACAAATAATACAGCTTGAATTTTGCAGTTTTTTTAAATCTCATTTCAAAGAGGGTATTCTTTCCATTGTTTTTTAAGTAAACCTGTCGAGCTTTATGTTTTGTCTTTTACAGGATTTTATTCCTTCAAATAGTATATTATCAAATGCCTTATCATGGGGAGTAAAAATTTTTCATATTGATGGTAAGAATTTTTCCAAGTACTCCTCTCTGCTTTTAATTTCTTACCTTTCTGAGAATTCTGTCAACACTAGGTACTCTTAATGACTGTTCTTTCACCTAACATTCAATAACTACAAGACAGCTAGGGCTCTCTGGTCACCTAGTGCTACAGAGTGCCCTCCTAAATGGAAGGCACATGGTTTGAATCCACAGGCAGTCTCTGCTAGTATAATTTACAGCATCTGAAGACTTGCTGAAAGGGTAACTATGAGTCAAGTTTGACTTCATAGTACATAACAACATAAGAAAATATTTAATGCTCTTCAAGTCAGTTCCTAATCATAACAGCTTAAAACCTGGGTTTTCTGAGACTCTGAATCTTAATAGATGGCAACTACTCACAGATTGGTGAACTCAAGCCACTGGAGACATGTAGCATTTTGGTTGTCATCAGTATAGCATGACTACACCAAAGCTTTCTTTAACTTTCATGTGTAAAAATGCTAATTCTAATCTTGGGTCTTTTTTCTCTTTCCATTAAGACATTAGATACTACATTGAAAAAAAGAAAAAAGAATTGTATTTACTCAGGAAAACAAGCACTTCTGTTAAAGATGTGGTATGTCTTTTCCTAATTTTTAAACTAATTTTTTAAAAATGTCTTATATACTTAGAAAGCTATTCTACTTGAAATGATAAAGGATTAATTTTAATTAGATTGTGAAAGACTGCATTTATGTTATAAATCACATAATAAGAAATTAAATCATACAAAATAAGTACAGGCAAAAAGCCAATAGATAAATCTTCAGATAATTTTTTTACAATCCAGAAAGAGGGGAAATGGAGGAGAAACCATTGGAAATTTAATCCTAAGTTAATTAAATATACCAATGAAATGACAAAGCTTGTCAGATCAATCAAATACTGTACAAAGAACCCATTTTAATAGGAAGACTAAAGATGCTAAAGATAGAAGGATGTAAGCAGATAACATACTTGGCAACATTAATCAAAAGAGGGCTACATTGGCTTACTGTCAGCAAAGTAGACTTCAGAATAATCAATTTTACCAATTATTAAAAGGGACTTTATATAATACTGAAAATGTCAGTTCATCAAGAAGATGTATAAATACTAAATTTTTGCACACCGAATAGTAAATTTCAAAATACATTAACCAAAAATTGATAACCTAAAAAAAAATCCACAAATGTATATGTTAACAGTCTTTTATTTCTGAGTTTATTTTTAAATAAAACATATTTCTTTGTCCATAAAACTTAAAGATAAAATAATCACTGCTTATATAGAGTTTTCCTCTTGTGTTTGGTTTCTTATTGAAAATACTTAAATTACGATTGCTGCCAGTAATTATTTAGAATACAGTATTTTCACAGTGGGTTGTTTTATTTCCTTTTTTTAATACAGGGGAAAAGAATTTGTACTCAGAAAACAAGAAGTAAGTCTTTTATATTCTTAGACTTGTTTCATTTGCTTTTAGAAAATAGAATAAGTCATATTAGTAATTCTATAAACTTGTGATTTATTCAGAGGTTTTTAACCTTTCCTTTCACATAGGCTGTTCCATGGCAATCAGGTAAAACTTGTGGATACTTTGTAAGAATGATGTTTTTTAAAAGCATGAAATCATTCTATTCCCCCCAAAATTCAATGATCAAAATGCCTTTCAATTTTTTGTTATTATTTAGTGGTGAAAATGCTTTTTATCATAATCAAACCAAGTAACTGCCGTGATCGTAGCTAGTATAATTTTGACATGTCCATATTGACATTCTAAATAAAAATTAAAATGTATTATTTCTAAGTGTCAAAATTTGTAGCCACTGCAGATGCTAATATGACTTGCTGTTCTTATAATTGTAGGAAATATTAAATTTCATATAGTCTAGTTTTTAAAGTGTTTTTCTTCTTATTTAAGTAATAGATTTTTATGTGGTAGATCTGAGCTTAGCATTTTATAGAGCATTCTGAGTTTAATAATCTCAGAAAATAAACAGCTTGTTATTTTATAAATGAGTACTATTGTGAAAAATAGTTTCCTTGAGGTTTAAACTGTTAAAATGGATTCTTAAGTTTTTCTTAACCACTAGACTGTTTGTAGAAGTGAAAAATAATCTTGTGTTTATAAGTACTTAATCTCTGGGGTTGTTGTTTTTTTTTTAAAGCAGGTAGACTCAAAAAGCCTTTTGTAAAGGTGGAAGATACATGCCAGTAAGTACTAAGTCTCATCTTTCTGATTTAAGTACAATATTAAAGGGGAAATTCTTCTAAATAGAATAGCTCATAACTTGATGTTAGGGGCCTTTATGCAGTTATTGTTTTGAGCCATTGAATCAGCTACAGTCATGGCAACCCAGTGAACCCTGTCCTCTCATTCATGTCTTCATTAACTCTGCCATGCTCAGGTGCATTGTAAAAGTCACTGTGCCAGTCCATCTTGTTGGGGAGCTTGCTTGCTTTTTCATAACCCTCTCCATTTCCTAGCATTATATCCTTTTCCAAGGCCTAGTGTCTCCTGACAACATGGCCAAAGTATGTCAACCAAAGTTTCCTCATCTTTGCTTCTTAAGGAGCGCCATAAATACACTTCTTCTTCCAGAACAGATTTGTTTGGAATTTTTTGCAGTTTTGGGGGGTATTCAGTACTCATTTCTAACATAACAGCTCAGAGGCATTGATTTTTGTTCTTGTTCCGTATCCTGCTTTAAAGTGAGTAAGAAATTGTTTAAAAGACCATGGCTTGGATCAGGTTCATCTTAGTCTTTACATTGGCATTGTTCTTTAAGCACTTCGGAGAGATCATTGACAGCAGTCTTTTCCACTGAAGCACATCCTTTGATTTCTTAACTGGTGTTACTGTGGATGTTAGTTGTGAATTCAAGTAAAATGAAATCCTTGAAAACTTCAATCTTCATCTGCCATGATATTGTCTATTAGTCCAACCAGCAGAATGTGTGAATTATCAAACATTAATATTACATGCAAGTAAAGTTTTCCTGAAGATTATTTTAAAATAGCCAGATTTATAGGGAATTGGCAGAAATTCTGCTGATTTAAGAGGAGGCCCTGGATTTTTTTATTACTGATATCAAATGGATCTTGGCTGAAAGCAGAAAATACCAAAAAGATGTTCACCTGTGTTTTGTTACCTGTGCAAAAGATATGCTAACTATATAAATTGTAATAAATTACAAACAACATTAAGAAAAATGGGAATCCCCAAAACTTAGCTATGCTCATGCGAAATCTGTCATAGGTTTTCTCCAAACTAAAAGAAGCTTTTTTTCTGAATAAAGCGAGGGAATCCTGTGTGGTTTAAAGTTGGAAAAGATGTGTGTTAGGGTTAGATGCTTTCTCCATACCTGTTCAGTTCGTCTGTTGAGTACATCATTCAAGTGAGAATGTGGCATCAGGATTGGAGGAAAACGCATCAACACCCTGCATGTAGATGATACAACTTTGCTTGCATAAAGTGGAAAGAAATTGAACCATGAAACACTTGCTGCAATTTTATGCTAGATTTATATTTATGTTTGTGTGGCATAGATACTGAAAGTAGCATCATTTAATCTGGGCTCAAGGAGCAAATTTAATTTCTGATGTTGGTAAACAGTATTCATTTGAGATACCTACTTTAGAGCAATAATAGGAGCAATTCTTCCCCCCCTCCCTCCCCCCAGTAGCTAAGATAGTCAATCCTTGGACAAATGTACTGTCATATAATTTAAAACTACTAATTAAAGAGTGAGGAGCTCTGATGACTTAGTGTATAACATGTCAGGCTGCTAACTGCATGGTCAGCAGTTCAAATCCACCAGCTGCTCAACGGGACAGCCCTCTATCCCATAGGTTTATGGCCTCAGAAATTGAAGGAGGGTCACTGTGAATCAGAACCAATTCAGTGGCAGTGAGTGACTAAAAGATTGTCTCCATTTGTGAAAAAGTGAAATTATTAAGAAATGTAGTGTGCCCTGTGGCACAAGGGTTAAAATTGTTGCCTACTACCTCGCGGGTTGGCTATTTGGAACCATTGGCCACTTTTGGGGGAGAAAATACAGCGTACTTTATTTTTTTTAAATGTTTGAACAAAAATTAAAAATTTGGCGTAGAAACTGATATTTAACAGGGAAGCTTAGCTGACTTCTCTTGCGTTAGTCGTATTCCAGATGCATTATATGATTTAGAAAAGTAAAATTTATTTCTGTCATCATAGTAGAGAATCTCATGTATTTGTCTTTTTTTTCTTTTAGATTTTATAGACCGTTTTATCTTCAGTTGACCAGCATGCCTTTCATAAATTATTCTATTCGGAAGCCCTATAGTCCATTTGATATGGATAAACCATCAAGCATCCAAAAGCAAAGTCAGGTTAAACTGAGGTTGGTTTAATCTTTACTTTTAGAAGAAATATTATTCAGAATATCATTTCAAGTCAATGTTTTCCTTTATAAACAAGCATATGGAATAATAATTTACACTATGGTGCTATGTGATAGAGAATGTGGATCCGTGGGTCTTTATGAGCTATCCTAGCTCATTTTTCTATTCAGTATCTTCTGTTTCTGTGCAGGATTGGAGTTCTTAAGTATATAAAAATTAGGCACTTCAGATAGAGCAAAAGGAGCCTTAATGGCATAGTGTGTTACATGTTGTAATGAATGCTTCCTATGAGGTGGTTCAAATTCACCAGCTACTCTGCATTGGAAAGTTCCTCCCTAAGTATTTATAAAAACATGATGTGTTGTCATTGTGAGTTTTAAATAATTGACTGATGCTACTAGATTTGGGTTTGTTTGGGGGTTTTTGTTGTTTGTTTTTAACTAGAGGGAAGAAAGATAATTGAAAATAATTTTTTTTTAAAAAAAATTAATTTCTTGTATTTCAAGGTATCTTATGTAATCTCCAGTTATCTTTTCAAGTTCTTTACGTTTTAAGGATTGCATTCTTAATTTAATCTTAAAATGTTATTTGCTGATGCAAATATCTAATCAAATTACTGCAGATCCTATTAATTTTATAAAGTATTCCTTCTATTTAGTGGTTAATTCTCTCACCATGTATTTCTCTTGTCAGGATCCAAACAGATGGTGATAAATGTGATGGAACCCAAGTTCAGCTCCATTTGAAAGAGAAGAAGAAAAAAGGATATTGTGAGTGTTGCTTGCAAAAATATGAAGATCTCGAAACTGTAAGTCTTATTTTACATTTAAGGGATTGATCATCCTAAAACTCTTATTTTTTTAAAAAAATTGAGTCATTGCTAACAGGCGTGCATATAGCTACTGGTGGATTTGAACTAGCAGAGAGGTGCCACCTTTGGTTCACTTCCCTACAGACGATGCCATGCAACTTCCTCTAGACTGCCCCCTGATCTCAAAACTCCATAGTGTATGCAGTTTAAACTTTAGCTTACTCCTCTGATTTGTACTTGGTTGATTATTAATAGTTTATTATCTTTGATGTTGATATGTGTTGTCAACTCAGAACTGATTCTCCAATAGGTTTTCAGAGATAGTAAATCACACAGGAGGGGAGTAGATTGCCTGTCAATCTCCTGAGAGCAGCTAGTGGATTTGAACTGCATGACTTTGGGATTGCAGTGCAGCTTCTTACCACTAGGCCACTAATCATTGATAGAAATATTTTAAGAGCCCTCTGGTGGCTTAGTCCATAGAGAATTTCATTGCTAACCCATATCATTGATAGCACATGCAGGTAAGATTCTGCTGAAACTTACCCAAAAACGACTGGAGCAGTACATCAACAGTGAACTGCTATATGCGCAGGCTGGGTTTAGAAGAGGCCATGGTACTAGGGGTATTATAGCAAATGTTAGATGGATCTTGGCTGAAAGCACAGAGTACCAGAAGAATGTCTGTGTTTCACTGACTATGCAGAGGCATTTGATTATGTGGACCACAACAAGCTCACTGACTCTGAGAAGAATGGGAATCCCAGAATATTTGATTGTGCTTATGCAAAACCTATACTTAGACCAGGAGGTGGTGGTCAGAACAGAACAGGGAGACACTGCATGGTTCAAAATCTAGAAGGGTGTATGCCAGGGATGTACCCTGTCTCCATGCATTTTTTAGTCTATATGCAGAACAGATCATCCAGGAAGCTGGACTCTATGAGGGGAATTGAGGCATCAGGATTGGAGGAAGACTCAACAACCTGCATTGTGCAGATGACACAACCCTGTTTGTTGTAACTGAGGAGGACCTGAAGTGCTTGCTGCAGAAGGTCACGGACTGCAGCCTTCAATATGGATTGAAGCTCAACATCAAGAAAATAAAGATTCTCACCACTGGGCTGAATGACAGCATTATGTATGATAGATGGTGAAGAGATTGAGATTGTTAACAGCTTTAGTTTACTTGGCTCCACAGATGAATTGTATTGAAAAAAGTTGGCTGACAAGGACCTCTCAAGCGTACTGAAGAGCAGTGGTGTCAGTCTGGACACTAAGGTGCATCTGATCCAGGCCGTAGTCTTTGCAGTTGCTTGTTATGTGTCAGAGAGCTGAACAGTGAATGACTAGGAATGATAGAGAATTGGTGCTGTGAAAGAGTATTAGATATACCATGGACTGCTAGGAGAACAAACAGGATCATCCTAAAGAGGGTGAAACCAGGCTGGTCATTGGAGAGGGACATCATGCTTGGAAGGATGGAGGGACAGAAAAAGAGGAAGACCATCAATGAGATGGATTGATTCAGTGACTGGGGTAATGGGGATGGCTGTATCAGAGACAATAAGGTTGACACAGGATAGGGCAGGGTTCAGGGCTACATAGGGTTGCTAAGAGTTGGAAGCAACTTGATGGCACATAACTACCCAAAGAAGGCACCTCTAGCAGTTCAAATTCACCAGTATCTCTGAAAGGATATTTGGCAATATCCTCCCATGCAACTCACTTCCTTGGAAAACTTGCTAGAAGATTGCTATGAGTTGCTCACAACTCATTGGCAATGAGTTTGAGGGGGTTTTTTTTTAGACTATTTGGCAGTCACTTCTCTAGATGAAAATTAATTGACTGAATGAAACCAATGCCCTGTCCTAATGAAGTTAGACAATTACCACAGGCTAAAAACACATAATATGTAGGATGTGTTAGATTAATAGTATGGAAATATATGAGTTGGGAATGGACATGTTGGTGTTTGTTTAGTCTGGATAATACTGACCTTACAAGGTGCCATTTAAATTTGAAGCCGGGAAGAAGTGAAATAACAAAATTTATGAGTAGGGAAGTAACATTCTAGGGCAAAGAAAAGGGAGTGCAATAAAGTGGTTTATGGGAACAAGATCAGTTAATGGAGACCTCAACTAAGTCATAGTCTTGGATATAAGACAATATATTTCTCTTAAATATGGAGCTAAAAGAATTTTCCATAAAAGTGGATATAAGGGGAATGAGAGATGCATTATTCTGATAAGAATCCTGAGTAGGTTTGTCATTTTACCTGTAAGAAGTAAAGAAAGTGATAATTGTGTAAAGATTAAGTAGATGTGGGAAATGCTTTCAAAATACTAGTGTACATTGAGTGCTAACTGTTACTGTTACTTATCCCAACACCATCTTCATTAGTTTTCAGTTACCATTGTAAGCACAGAACAGTTAATAATTGGGTTTTATCATTGAAAATTAAAAGGCCTTTAAAACCATACTAGTTTTCTTTCTTAGCATCCTTTCAAGTCAAATAAAGGGTATTTCATTGAAAAACTGGTTCTGGTGGCATGAAAATGTTAGGAAGTCTGAGCAAAAATATAATTATTTTTAAAATTACAGTAATATGTTTTATATTTTATTTCAGCATCTTCTATGTGAGCAACACAGAAACTTTGCACAGAGCAGCCAGTATCAAGTTGTTGATGATATTGTATCCAAATTAGTTTTTGACTTTGTGGAATATGAAAGGGATATACCTAAAAAGAAAAGGTAATTAAGTGTAATACAACTTTAAATATCTAATCCAAAAATCAATGAAAAATGCACTGTTCTTGGAAAGAATATGTATTATCAGGATGTAAATATGCTTAAACTAATTATTTCTTCCCTCTTTACTGCATTATCAAAAGTCTTTATTTTAGATTAAGGTTTTCTTGACAAGACAGTTTTGAACTTGGCAATCTTTTTTGTAAAGAACCAGATAGTAAATTTATTAGCATCTGTGAAACATGAGTCTCCTTTGCAACTTCTGTACTTTGCTGTTTTTTGAAAGCAAGAAGAGACTTTGTGTTTGTGTTCAATAAAACTGTTTAATAAAGACTGCATTTGTCCTGTAGACTATACATTTTCAACTTCTGATCTAGAATTACAAAATTTCCCATCTACTTAGGCTGCAAAGAACAGAATTTTTATATAATCTTAAGAGTTCCCCTTTTAAAAAAGACCCTTTGCCACTTGCTTGTTATTTCAGAGTCATTTTCACTGAATGTCTCTACTTGAGCTCTTCTTTCTAATAAAACCTACTGAATGTACTGATAGAACTTTTATGGGGAACTTAGATTATATATGGTGTATAACTGTACATTAATAAAATGGTACTGATGAGATTATGAACATTTTTAAAGCTAAAAAAAGCTTTCATAAGGATATACTAGAGTATAGGTAATAATTGACTAGTTACTCAGTTCTTAATGCTTCTGGAACAAAAGGGTTTCAGGTCATATGTGTGTATGAAACTTAAGTAGTACTTAGTTTTCATCTCTAGAAGTATAATTACCATTGCCTCTTACCATGTAAAAATATATTTCTACCTTAATTTCTCCCTATTCTTTGCATTGCTATGTAAAATTAGACAAAGACTAATGTAAAGCAAAACACAGAATTAAAACAATTTAAAGATAATGGAAACAAAACTGATAGCCAATCCCAATCACTTTACTTTCATCTTTCTTTGATTTACATTATGAAAAGCAATTTTAAGTACAAAATCAGACAGTAATTACCTCTGTGGGGAGAGAAGAATTCAGATTAAAATTAGATTTTCAGTTGTTATTTCCAAACTCATAAAACAATAAATTTAATTGTAAAATATACTTTTGTAGCTAATTAGAAATTTCTTTTAATAACAATTATTTTAACTTTTTTCCTCTTCTTTCCCCCCTTCAAGAATAAAATACAGTGTTGGAACTCTTTCGCCTGTTGAAACAAGCATACTTAAGAAGTCTAAAACTAAAGAACAGATAGCATTGCAATATATTCTTCAGAAAGGCTTTGGGGGACATAGTAATATACAGAAGGTCGAGAAGAATTTCCTCTCTAAAGAAACCCAGCAGTCTGAACAAGAGTTTGTGTCTGTTTCAGAGCCTATCCCTAGTCCTTCAAGTGAACCAAGAGGACTTCAAGAGGAAAAGACCAAGAAGTGTTCTATATTAAACACAGCTGAAAATGTCATTGAACTAGATTTCAAACAGTTACCTTTGCATAAAAGCAAGCAGGAATGTACACTTGATGTTTCGGAAAAGGAATTACTCATAAATGAATGTAATTTGGAAGAACTGAAACTGAAGGTGAAGCACTGTCCATGTAGACTACAGGCATCCATACAAGTTTCCAGTGTCACTAAGAATGACAGTACATCTCAACAGAAAGAACAGTCAATAGCTGACCCTTTCCCAGCAAAGGAGCTAAAGGAAAAGGATTCCGTGAGTGGTTATGATTGTGCTTTGATAGCAACAAACAGTTCGCACGAGCACCTGACGACAATTCAAGCAAAGACTTCATCCCATAACCTTCCTGAAGAATCCAATGACTGTAACCTCAAGAATGTACATAGTTTACCTCCTGGTAAAATCCATCATAATGTGAAATTATTATTAGGAAGAAATAAAAAAGAAAATCTAGAGCCAAATGTGGAATTAGATAAGAAAACAATGGAGTTTACTACCCAAGAAGAAAACAGAATTTGTAGTTCACCAGTACAGTCTTTACTGGATTTATTTCAGACTAGTGAAGAGAAATCAGAATTTATGGGTTTCACCAGCTACCCTGAAAACAGTGGTGCGTACAATGCTTTAGATACCTGGAAAGATGAAAATTCAGCTAATCTCTCGTCAGTGGTTTTGTTTTCTTCCCCTTCAAACTCTACATTTACTGCGTTTTAGTCTTAAGAATGTATACTTTTAAAGAAATTATAAGCATTGTAATGAAAGTTTTATAAATAAGTTTAAAAATTCATAGGGTGTTTTTGCTAATGATGTTTACAGATAATATGTAAATAATAAAGATGTTATTTGTATTTTTCTATAAAATTGAATACATATTATAAAATAGGATAAACTACTCATTTTACATACTACATAATTATAAAAAGTATTATCTTTATGTCATTGAAAACTAGTGAAAATTTAAGAGTATCAAAAACATAAATCTAGGTATTTTTTTATTTATTGTCTATGAGATACATTCTGATAACATTGATTATAAAACCCCAAATTTCATGGGAAAGGATTCAGGTTTTCAATATTTGGACTGTGAGTGTAATTATGAGAAACAATGGACAAACTAGATAACATTTAAATTCCAGTTTATTTTGGATGTTTATATTAAGATATCTAGTCCATGTTCTTGCTGAAATTTATTTTCTAAGAGATTTATACTGATACTACTTTTTAAAAATGTTACTTTTTAAAAATTTATCTCAGTTAATGGTTTTACCTGGGTTATGTAGAGCAAAAAAAGAAATTTGTATTGTGCCCTTTGTTCGACAATTGATCATAAGAAATCAGTAGTTACAGTCTCGATACACTACCATTTTTTAAATGGTTGACCATGCTGGTACTAAGGGGTTCTTGTTTGTAGAGTTGAACAAAGCCGTGAAGGAATAATTTAACGAGACTTCATATGAAATAGAATCATTTTCTTCACTATGCCTAGTTTTGTAAATAATTTTGGAAATCTTTATCTCCCTAATTTGGTATCCTAACATGAAGTGATTTCTGAATAGTTGCAGGTGATATGAGTACTGCCTTTGATATGGTACTAAGCAATACAATAATTTGAAGAAGTGGTGCAAATACAAAGAAAATGTGAACTATTTTCTCTGTAATAGAGTTTAGCTTTTAAGCATATTATGATAAGTAACTGACAAACATTGACAGCTCTTCACAGTAAAAATTATTCCATTGGCATTAATGAATTGCATTGTTACTTAAAATTTAACTTTGGTTATTGGTCTTTTTGGACTCGTACTCCCAACATAGGTTGTGATTTTTGTGTATTATTCAGCAATTTTGATGAAAAATACTAGCTTTTTATTATCTTTATTATTTCTGCCAGTTAAGCAAAAGATACTTTACTGTGCACACAACAGAGTGACAGTCTTTAGTTTGCATCGGTGTTGTCTGCCCCCAGAATTGTTTCCAAATGTGCTTTTTATGAAATACAAGCTTACTGTTGTTGACTTAGAACTGGCTCAGCTAAACCTCCAGTAGTTTCCAAGGTGGTAAATCACATGGGAGGAGATAGTGCAACTTCTCCTATAGAGGCCCTGTGGAAATGAACCACCGGAGAACACAACTCTCGGACAGGTCATCAGAGCTCCCTATGAAACACACCTTAGTTAAATTTAGGAAGGAGAAAAAAGCTCAAGTTGAATGCTATCTTTAGTATTTTATACTATTGTTGGACTGTTGTTTTGAATACTGAGCTGTTAAAATGAGTACTCAAATTGCCGCTTATTTGGAATCATTTTTACAAATCAGTTAGGCTGTTACAGTTTTTATAGGCTGTGCCATGTAGAGGAACATCCAACCAAAGAAGTCAGTGCAGATACAGCCTGTAATTTCATCATTGTGTCTTGAGGGGGAAAAAAAGGATATCCATTCCATATTCCTACAAGTTTTAACCAATAGGTTAACTCTTTCTGTATAATAAAAGAAGCCCTCTTATACACCTGTTCACCTGTGAAGACTGGTTATTCTGCATAACTTAGATTAAAATGCAGAATTTGATCTCTTACAGATTTGAACCAATTCAGAGGTGACCCTCCAAGACAGTTTTTAATCATAGGAGGAGGTTACCCATCTTTATCCTGTGGAACAGCTAATGAGTTTGAACCACGTACCTTGGCCTTGGCAGTATGATTTCTTACCACTAGATCACCCCGTAACTTAGCATTAACTTTGTAGATAATATTAGAAAGCAGCAGTTTTTAAAAAAACTCTTCCCCTATTCCTCCAAACAAAAATTATTTTTGTCAGCAAAATAAATGCCTCAGTGCAAAACAAAGTACATAGCTGAATATTGTGATGAACCAGTAGATGTGGATAAAGTGATGTAATCAACAGATTAGAAGTCCAAATTATTAACAGTTCAAATAATAGATTTTTAGTTGATCCCTTACATATACATCTGTGAGTTGGTAATCTAAATCGTGCCACCTTCAATAATACTTAAGCTGACTTCCTCAGAGCTCAAATACTTAATGCATGTTGGAGCTCCATGAATTCTATCAACTTTAGCAAAACCAAAAATGCATCTAGAAATTGTAAATTTTTTTTCAAATATACCTACCCACATATTCCAGTTTAAATATGTATTCGTAAGGATGTACTGTATTTTTACACATGTAATGTGGATGTGCCAAGACTGTGGAGCCGAATGAGCGGAAATTAACAACCTCAATGCTTTCTCCATTATGGTGCTGCCATTTGGCCCAGTGGTGAGAAGCTTTGTTTTCTTGACATTGAGCTTCAATCCATATTGAAGGCTGCAGTCCTTGACCTTCTGCAGCAAGTGCTTCAGGTCCTCAGTTTCAGCAAGCAAGGTTGTGTCATCTGCTTAAGACAGATTGTTGAGTCTACCTCCAATCCTGATGCCACACTTATAGAGCCCAGTCTCTGGGATAGTCTGTTCTGCATATAGATTGAAATGATATGGAGATAGGACACAACCTTGACACACACCGTTTCCAATTTTGAACCATGAAGTGTTTTCTCGCTCTCTTCAGAAGACTGCCTCCTGGTCCAAGTATAAATTTCGCATAAGCACAATAAAGTGCTCTGGGGTGGTTTAAATGCACTAGCTGCTCCATAGGAGAAGGATGGCTAATCTCCCATATGATTAACTGCCCCTGAAAACCTGCCATAGGGTCAGCTGTGGGTCGGTTCTTGATGAAGCACAACATGGAAAATGTTTAAGATGGGAGATTTCCCTTCTCCTACAGAGTAGCTTGTGTCCTTGAACTGCATGCCTTCAAGATTGCAGCATAGCTTCTTGCCACTAGGCCACCAGAGCTCCTGTGTAATTCAGTGCCTCTGAAAACCTGCTGGGGGAGGTGGAGGCTCAGTTCCAACCCAATAGCACACCAACAGCAAGGACATGAGAGATCTCTGGTGGCTAGTCTAGCTGCTACTAGTCCAGAGTCAGCCCCTCCAACTCACCAGTCGATCCTCAGGAGAAATGAGAAATCACTGGAGAGTCAGCTGTGGATTTAATTCTGATTGAATGGCAATAAGAGAGACCAACTGACACAGCCATCATCAGAGTCACATCAAAGGAAGTGGTGGGTGAACATCTAATACATAATTTTAAATGAGAACTTTTAAAGAAAAGGGGGAAACATGCAAAAATTTTAATTGAGTATATTTTTATTAATGGTACCCAAATCTTTTTGCCTTTTCTAGAAATATACTCTCAAAAAGTTTTTAAAAAAATTATAAGTAACTGGATAGACTGTTTCTTGATTTTATGACTGCGGCTACCATAGGTGTGTATTCAAGCTAAATGAGATAATTGACAATTTCAATCTCTAGTTATGATGCCCAGTTGTGAGGATTTTGGTTTTCTTGATGCTGAATCTATACTAATGTTAAATGTTTCAAGTCCTCTTCAAGTAATGTTGTGTCATATGTGTAACCTCCCAGTCCTGATGCCATAATCTTCATATTGCCCAAATTCTGGAATTATCTGTTCAGCATACATATGGAATAATTAGTGAGTGGAAACTGTTTGTTATTAATTGAATTATGTATCTGCCTTACCTTGAGCACATGACCAGGAGAGATCGGTCCTTGGAGAAGGACAATGATGCTCAGAAGGGTGGGCGGACAGCACAGGAGAGGAAGACCCCAGATGAGATGGATTAATAGAGTAACCAGGGTAATGGGGGTTAGAGTTAGTGAGACTGGCTCAGAATGGGGAAGGGTTCAGATCTGCTGTACATAGGGTCACTGTATCACAGGTGACTCAATGGCACATAATAATACTATGACAGGTTTGAAAGCAGGAGTGGCATCCACTTCTAAATAACATGCCTTTAGAAACTATGAACTTTGATAAATGTCGATGGTTGTAGAGAGGCTTTAGGCCTTTTATTCATGAGGTTGCTATGAGTCGTGCTCAGCTCTAATGCAATCAACATCATCCCAAAAATGTGCTGTAAATCCTAACTTATACCTATGGGTATAGCCTTATTTGGGAATTTTATTTGTTGTGTTGTTGTTATGTGCCGTCGAGTCGCTTGCGAGTCATAGGGACCCTATGTACAACAGCCCTAAACTCCGCTCTGTCCTTGCCAATTGCACTGTCTCTGACACTCCCATCCCAATTATCCCAGTCACTGAATCAATCCACCTCATAGAGGGCCTTCCGCTCCTTCGCTGT